CCACTTGTATATTCACTACAGGTCTCTAGCAAGCTCTTTGCACACCTGGCTGGGCTTTCCCTGCACGCTCCACCTATATGCCCTTTCCTCTCTAGTGGCAGAACTTCAGGCTTGCTACACCCCACTGCACCATGAGTATTTGAGCCATGCATAGATATTTCACCACAGCTATTCCTTGCTCTTATTTCAGTTTTCAAATGTCTACTTCAGTCACGCTGTCAGTGGTGGCAGCGTCCTTTGGTAGGCGCCCATCCCTGCGGCTCCTGTCCTGCAGCTGTTTGCAGCCCTTTCCTGACCCTCCTGCTGGTGGGAGGCCGCCTGGGAGCCCTCCTTCCTCAGCAGGTCTCAGTGACGCAACTGGAAGGCAATTTGGATAAAATTGGTACGGAGAACGAGCCTGTGCTGCATGAGATAGTTGCAGGAAATTCCTGGCCCCTGAATAGCTTGCATCCTTTTGTCAAGGGAGAAGTAGATGGGATTTATGCCCATGCCTATCAGACACTGAAATATGCCAGTTTGTTGCGTTTTTGTCTGCACTTTTCCCCTCCTCTGTGTTGTGCCCTGCTACACACACGCTCTCTGCGAATTGTGCAATTAGATGTCTGCGTTCTTCCTTTATTAACTCATTCATGGATGAAATGAAATGTATATTAAGCTTTTCTTCTCTACTTGCCACCACACAAGCAAAGCAATGTGTAGAACTAGTCCTGTATCAAATGATTAATTCATGTCCATTAGCTTAGCAAGTCATAAATATTTATAATCCTTTGAAATATGACTGGGGAAACTTGATGAGGAATTTAAAAGATAAATTTGACATTGTTCTCCTAACATTTCATTTTTCACTGAGTTGTAAAGCCCTTACATGTTTAGACTAAAAAATAAATGTGTGAAGTGATGGTTCAGATAATTCCACTTTTAGTCTCAAGTTAGACTCACTGTGATGGTTTATTTTCAGTATTCTATTTGTTTACTTGTATACTTGTAAAAGGTAGCATTGGAATGTTTTCATGTTCAAATATTGCTAAAATAGAAGCAGAAATGACAGTAGTCCTATAACCTTCAAGATATGTAAGTCTCAGAATGGGAGGTAAATTGCACAAAGGTATTTGGATGTAATTCTAACTGGACTGTGATCTAACATAATGAGTGGAATGTGCTTCAAGATGGGACAATGGGACTTGTTAATTTGTCTTGTGGTGTTGATGCACACTTCTCGGACCAAAAAAAGCAGCTTGTTAAGCAGCATCAAAGGACCCAACAGTATGTGTTAAATTTCAGTATGCCAATAAGGCTCTTGTGGACAAATCATACAAAGAAAGATGACTTTGTACCTGCAGGTGTTGCAAATGTAACTTACCTTCAGAACCCCCCTTCCCCCCAAGCCTTAGGATTCTGGATAGAGCTGCTGTAAGAAAGGATTCCTTTTGAAAAGGAAATAGAATTTGCAAACTATGGAGAACTTTCCATCGTCAGCATCATTAACTGAAAGGACGAATGACCATCTTCCTCTTCCAACCAGTCTGTATGTCTTTCTTCAGATTAGGCCTATGTTTTAGTTGGGGATTTTTTTAAATCGGAGGCTTAATAAAAACTTTATTTCTGAGAAACTTCAGGGCACTTGGAAGCTAAACATCAGCCTTCTATATACAGTGCAATATTTGTATGTTTACGAGTGTCATGTATTATATCCCAGTGATGAACATCCTCAGGAATGAGATCAAAGTTGAGGCTGAAGCTGGGGTTGTGTGGCAGCATTAGGCAGTTGCGTTGTGCTTTTGCGAGGATTCAGAATCCTCAGTTAAGCAGTGTTTGTTTCTGTGTGGTTTTGAGAGGAGCCACTTGGTGAGTAAACCTGATAAAATGCCAGCTGTTATGTTTTGCTGACGATTTCTCATTACTGTCTTGGTGCATCTTAATTTTTTTTTAAGGTTTTGTTTATTACTTCTGAAACAAACCAAACTGTACCTTGGAGCAAGTCCTTCATCTGCAGGCCAAGTGTCACAGCAGTAAAACCTCTCCTGGCATGGGCTGGAAACAAAGCTGTAGCTGGCTACTGTGTAGAAGTTCTAGGGAAGAGACTTGTGAAGCTTCTTTGGCTTCGTAATTTATTTTGTTTCCTGATAACAGAAGGAATAAAGCCAGTTGTGACGGAGATTTTTTTGGATGTGGGTGTGGATTCATTGACTTTATATTTCTTTGGGTTATATAGGAGCAGTAGAACAATACTCAAATGAAAATGAAAGAAATAATCAAGCACTTCTGTTGTTTTGCTGTTGAGTAAAACATAATTGCAAAAGCAGGCTGCTTGAGCAAAACCAGCATTAGGAGGAAAGGAAGGAACCGGTGCATTAAAGGTAATTTGGTTTAAAAATAGACATTGCATATCTTCCTAAGATATACAGCCCAGTTTAAAGACATGCCTCAGGCTTTAATGTAGGAGTTTGTTGGATTAAATTACTGGCCTCTGTTACAGGAAGGTCAGCATAGGGGACTATAATACGTTGCTTTGGGCCTCACAATATATTAAATATATTCCAAGTTCAGGGTTTTTACTGTGACTTAAGGGATGAGGAGTGGGAATGTCTGCTGTTGAAACTGCCCTCTGCATGTCCACACATCATTGCAGGATTTCACGCAAAGTTACCATCTGTTTAACCTGCAGTAACAACTGGTGACCCTACTAGTGCTAAGAGCAGCCTCTTGCAGGGTGTGACTGCTGAGAAATTCATTCGTCTTCATTATTGCTTCTCTCCTTCTTCCAGCAAGGGACCGTAACCACACATAAGCCCACTGAGGGGCACGATGGAGGAGGTGGAGGCCTGCGGCGGGCGGCCTCGAGCAGAGGTGGTGTGGGACTGGTACTGGTGAAGGGGAGACCTCCTCCATCACAGCAGAGCTGCCTCTCCTGTGCTGAAAGCAAATCAGTGGCTCATGTGGCTGTGCTCGCAAGGAAGGGTGAAAACCTCAGGCTGAGGGAAGGAGAACGTGATGGTGTTTTCAGCATGTTCCTCAGTCATATTACCAGTTAGAAGTAATTCCACAGGAGCAAGATTGCAGGCTGTGCCTGCTTAGGAGAGTGTTTCGAATTGCTCCTTTGATCACTTAACAGAACTGGTTGGAGTTTTATTAAGTGAGCTTTGGAGCTTTTATTTGCTAACCGTCTGGCAATAGCATGTAAGACTTTGTAAAGCATTTCAGCTGTAGAGCGAGCAAACATGTTTCAACGTAAGCACTGATGCCAGCACTGCTCTTGTAACTGAGGTCATGTTCCTCTGATGAGTGTTTTTATGAGGCTCTTTAGCTTCCTCTGCCCACTTGTGATTCTGCTTTCTCTTGTGTAATATGTGGGGAAGAACTTCTGGAAGGCTGCAGTATTGAGAAGACTGCAGAAGTGAGGGAAGTGGTGGGATCCCTTAAATAACTTCTACTCCCACGATGGATTTACAGGAGGCCATCTGTCACTGTTTGACTGTTTTATGGGTAGATTTGAGATAAAAGCATTCAAAATAATGACCACAAATAATGTAAATCTGACTAAGAATTCTGCAATGAATTGGTGGGTGTTAATCCTGATTTTGTAATAAAAACTGTCGGAACTTCTGACCCTGAGATGCAAGGATCTGTCCAAGTTAATGACTCTATAAAACCCAGCTTTCTGAGCAGGAATGTAACAATTAATTCTTCAAAGTGCATAATCACGTCTTTACCAGAAGATTTTTTTTCCTCCTGTCTGACTTGCAATCTGCGTGCTCAACATTTGCTGAAGTAAAGCAAATAAAAAGGTGTTAAGAGTCTTTGTTCAAGAGCTGAAATCTTCTGTGCAGCTGAATGCTCAGGCTCACTTGTTACAGGATTTGTGATTCCCGCTCTCCACATCAGCTTGTTTTGAGTAAACATTCAGCTGTTATTTGAGCAACAGACTGATAGGTGGTTTTACACATGCTTTTTAGGTCATACAGTATATTAGTCTGCTGGCTTGTGGGACAGAATCATTTTGTTTCCCATCTCCTTCTGATTTCTTAGTGTTCCTTGGCATTGGAGCATCTTAGAGCTTCCAGCTGTTCTTCTCCTCTTGTGTATTTCTCATGTGAATGTTCTGGGGAGGAGCAGAGTGCTGATGTGCTGAGCAGCCTGTGGAACCAGGGTGCTTGTGGGTCCCCTCAGACGTACATGAAGCAAGGCTGGAGCCTGGGTGGGTGCTGCTGGTCTGAGCTAAGCAAGAGCAGGAGAGGGATGTGCAAAGGGGAGTTCAGGGCTGCTTATTGGAGGAGACTATGGGGGATGTGTTGAAATGGGAAGAGAGAGTAGTCAGAGTAGAAATAAGCTGATTATCTGCACAGTGCAGAATTTCACATAGCTGGATATGTGAGCTTGTCTTGGGTCCTCGGTCATAATGAACAAAGAAGATACGTTATTGCTTGAGGTCACTTATATCTGTTTTGTATGATTCAGGTATGTGTTTACAAAAGAACAACACTGGAGCATAATCACATTTTTTTTTTTCCTATGCCTTGAGTTGATTGAGTACTTTGATAAGCACCTAACAATGCAACATGATGCTACAGTTCCTACGTACTACAGGTACTGCCAACAACCTCCACTTCCAACATAGCAAACACAAGAAGAAAAGAGCCGATATCACAAACTGACTTAGAACTGAAAGCTAAAAGCTGAGAACACCTTAGTTTTCATTTGTATATTTTCATTTGAAATCAGCTTACAGTCAAACCAAATGGCTTGTAAGACTGGCTTTCGGATTGCAGATGCGACAACTGCAGAGCTAGTCTGAGTTGATGGGCAGTGAAATGGAGAAGATAACCAGATGGTATGCATTTTGCAACCACTCATAATTAAATCTCTTGCAGTTTATAGTTTTCTATTTTTCTCTTTCATGAGCATGTACTTGCCAACTGCATTCCTGCATTGCTTGTGTG